TCCAGAATTGCAAGATAATTTGGGAAGGGGAGTCTTTTTGCTAATATATTGCACATTTCCCTGGCTTTACTGGTATCCTTAAGAGTATTTACATTTTGAAGTGTTCGAGGCTCTGCTTTGGTTTGAACGACTTTTTAATTTTTTAAAATAATTTTGTACAACACAGATAATGGTGTGAACTGCTTTTAGTTTATAGGGCTCTTGCAAATAACTGCTGTTTGTTCTTCGTGCCTTCATTTCTTAACATCTTGAAATATAAATACTACTGTGCAACGGGTTGATATAATACACTGTGTACAAGGAACTTTGTGGAATATAAATCCGTTATGAAGTCAGTAGAAATTGATGCAGAAGTAATTTTGCAACAAAAAAGGATGTCATGGTATCTTAAAGAAGAACAAGTTTTATTTGGCTTAAACTTTTGTGGATAGTGGTCCACTGATCAGTTGTATTTTGCAATATCACAAGCCTTTAAAAATAGACAAGTCTCTCTCTCTTGTGTAGTCTGCAACATAAATTTTAATTTTAAATTTTATTTTTATTGATTAAAATCACAGAAAGCTATTATTTATAATTTCTTCTACTAAATCATATAACCACATTAGTTTTCCAGTCTTCACTTCCTATGCTGTGAATACATTAGTGGTTAACTATATTTTTGCAAACCTCATTTTCCTGTCATATACAAATGTATACATTACCCAACATGAATCCAACGATTAATGCTGTTTTCTTCCAGCGATTATATGTTATAATTACCATTATTATTTAATTAATCTTTAAATCCCCACATTGCCATTATACCCCGGTGTTTACTTATATACTCGATTATTTGCTCCCAACTAAATTCCCCTAGCTTTTCATACTTAGATTCTAAATTTTGATACTAGGAAAAGAAGGAAATAAAGAAAAAACAGCTGAGGCTCAAATAGTTGCATTTGAATATAATTAAAAACCCTAAAGCAGTCAACCCAGGGCCACAATGGTTGGGGATTCTGGGAATGATAGTCCCTGCAAAAGTCACTTTCCCAGCCTTTGATTCTTTTCTATATTCTATATTTCTATATTCAATACCTGTTTATTTCTCTGATTCCTATCTGGTCCAATTCAGGAGGCTACTATCAACTGATAAAATGAGTAAATATCCAGACAATGCAGGGGTCTTTATTAAAAAGTCAGTGGACAATGGTTCTAAGATAGAAATCTAGATTTTCAAGTCTTGGCAGCCCACAGTTTTATCCTCTGTGCAAAGTGGGCATTTAAAACTGATTTATTTTATTTACATTCTGTTTTTCACTGCTTAGACTTTGCAACTTGCAAAACCAAAACCAAAACAAATATGGTGGGGATAAAACCTAAAAAAAAAAAAAGTTTTGTGAAATTCTAGTTTAAAAACCCGTAATGTTAAAAAAAATGATTTAAAACATTCGATAAAGAAAAGAAGAAAGATAAAATAATGGCCAAGATTCTAACTGAGGATAAAAGTTATGCTCAAAGTATTATGCGGTGGTTGTGTAATGGCACTTTGTTAGTGAATTGTGACACGTGCAACCAAATGTACAACTCAATGTACACCTTGTACACCTGCACGAACAGCGCGTATTGATGCACATGTGCAACCATGTGCCATCCACATGCGTTTCAATGCACAACCATGTGCAAATTCAGACAAAAATCCACCAAACAGTGATACCTTTATTGGCCAATTTGGCCGATAAAGGTATCACTGTTTGGTGGATTTTTGTTTGAATTTGCTAAATGAACCATTCGAATGGGCTACCAAAAATATTTAATCTGGGATAATGAATGTTGGGTTTTCTTCTGAGTTTTTCTAAAATATTCACATTCTTGGCTATGTCAATAACCGATGTGAATAGACCCGAGATAAACCGGGATAAAACTCTGCATGCCTTGAATGTGTTTCGAATACATCCGCATTGTCGAGTCCCTCTTTATTTCAGTGCTGGCCTGTGTGAGCAACCGGACTCACAGAGATGTGTTTCCGTATTGTGAACAACAAATCCAGAATGCATGCGGAGTGAGATTATTTGCATAGTTGTGCTAAAAAAACACAATGTGTGAATGACCCCTCCATCCAGTCTCTGACCTCAAAGCAAAAACTTGGGAGGATCAGGATCTCTGAAAACCTGGGAAGGTCAGTTCAACTTCTTCACACTTCCCTAGAATAATAAAATCATATGTAGGGTTGGAAGGGACCCCAAGGGCCATCCAGTCCAACCCCATTGTGCCATGCAGGAATACACAATCCAAGCACTCCTGACAGATGGCCATCCAGCCTCTATTTAAAAACCTCCAAAGAAGGAAATGAGACTCCACCAAAATCTCCAAGGGAGTGTGTTTTACTTTTGGACAGTTCTTCCTAATGTTTAGATAGAATCTCTTTTCCTATAGTTTGCATCCATTGCTCCAGGTCCTTGTCTCCGGATCAGCAGAAAACAAGCTTTCTTCATCCTCAACATGACATCCCTTCAAATACTGGAACGTGGCGATCATGTCCCCTCCTAACCTTCTCTTCCCCAGGCTAAAGATACCCAGCTCCCTAAGTTGCTCCTTGTAAGGCTTGGTAGTTTCCAGACCTTTCACCACTTTAGTTGCCGTTCTCTGGACACGCTCCAGCTTCTCAACAGCCCTCTTGAATTGTGTTGCCCAGAATTGGACACAATATTCCAGCTGAGGTCTGACCAAACCAGTACAGAGTAGCACTATTACTTCCCTTGATCTGGACACTTTATCCCTTTTGATGCAACCTAGGATCAAATTGGCTTTTTCAGCTGCTGCAGCACACTTTTGACTCATGCTCAGCTTGCGGTCGATTAACATCCTGTACAGACCGGCCAGAAGGGCTGGCCTGGAGGTGGAGTCGGGTCGTGGCGACTGCACGCTGGCCGCCCCAACTCTGCCGTCACGCCGCGCATCCCACCGCATGGTGGGCGATATCAGAGCGCTCCCTTGGCATAGCGTACAGACATACTGTTCTAAAGGAGCACAGAAAAGCTGCTGCAGTGGTGGCAAAGGCGGCTTTTTGTCGCCCCAAAAAGGAGCAGCATTTGCCAGCTCTTTCTGGAGCGGCAAAGTGACGGATCGGGGCTGCGGCATGCGTTTGCCGCAACCTCAATCCGGCACTCCCAAGGGGCTCCCCTATGACTCCCAGATCCTTTTTGCTTTTATTGTTGTCAAGCCAGGCGTTGCCCATCCTAATATCTGTGCCTTTCATTTTTTTTTCCTGCCCAAGTGCAATATATTACATTTCTCCGTGTCGAAATTCATTTTGATAGTTTGGGCCCAACTCTCTAATCCATTACGTTCCTTTTGAATTCAGTTCTCTGTCTCCTGTAATGCAACCCCAGATCTCTGTCCTGCTCCTAACTAACCTACAAATTATATTCTTGGGATCCGGGAGGCGAGACTGGCGGTCTGATTCAGTCTCTCGGACTCCTTGGCATTGCATGCCAGGCGTGTTCAAAGGGCCCTGGGAGCAGCTGTGTCTCTTTTCTTCCTTGGGCTATTTTCTTCCCGTACGTCGCTCAGAAAACAGGTGTCCTGAGATGAGGGTGCAGAACATGCCATGTGTTGAGTGCGAGACACACGCCTCTGCTGGCACTTACAGTTCTAGGGGAGGGACTCGGACGGAGCAGGTGCGGGAGCAAATCTTTGACCCGAAAGATTTGTGGTGGTTTTTTTTCTTTTGCAGTTTATTTATTTATTATTTATTTATTTATTATTTGCAGTTCATTAATGTTTAATTGATTGCTCTTTTAAAAATTTGGAACTGATTGATTTTTCTTAACAAATTGGCCATTCCTGTATCTGTATTGTGACTGCTGGCTATCAGGCTACTTATTCATTCACTAGGCAAAATGTTTTGGCTATACAGTCGCATCCGTTCCGGACACACACACACACACCGTGAATTGAGAAAATTGCTAATATTGAATCCCCATTGATTACAATGGGGGGCGCTTTTGTGCGCGGTGTGGCGCGGCGCGGCGTGGCACAGCATGGCATGGCACAGCATGCGCACCTTGGGCGCATACACCCTTTTGTCCTTCACGGCTTGCCATCTGCAAAGGAGCGAGGGATGCAAATGGCAAGACCACGAATGGCGAGGGACGAGTCTACATTGATTACTCATAGAACAGTAATAGTAGTATTGGAAGGTAACCCAATGGTCAGCTAATCCAGCCCAATGTAGACAGCCTTGGCTAATAAGGACAGAAGGGGTTTTTCTTCTGTAAACTTCTTTCTTTCTTTCTTTCTTTCTTTCTTTCTTTCTTTCTTTCTTTCTTTCTTATAAGAATGAATGCATTGAACAATTCACATTCTGCCCTTTTCAAAAAAATGCTTTGCCCTATGCAAGTTTTATAATTTAATTTTCACAGAATCATAGGGGATCCCAAAGCTCATCCAGTCCACCCCTAGTAGATGCATAGAGTCCACAGCTAAAAATCTCTTAAGACGTGGTCTTCCAATCTCTCCTTAAAAACGGGGTGACCAAAGATCCTCCTTTTCCTACATTTCAACCTTCTGTCCAGGAGGAATTCCAAAAGGTCTTCCATTTTGAGCATGACTAAGAAGCATGAATTTATCTTTATATGAGTGGCGTTAGCTTTTATTTGGTGCTGTCCGTCCTCTTTTGTAGTCAGGAGACCTGGTCATCCTAATAAAAAGCCCCAGCAAAGTAGGGTCGGCCATTGTCCGGCCGAGTCCATTCTGCTCTCGAACAGCTTTGGCCATCAGGAGGTTTTTGAATATTACCAATTTTGTACATGGCACAGCTGTTTTATGGGGAAAAAATTAGAATAGGGCTGGGGAGATGGTTATGATTTGAGAAGAAAGAATTAGAGCTGGGGAAATAATTGCAAACATTTTAAATCTGGCCAGTAGTTTTTCCATTTGTTTATTCAAGTGTCGAACGCACAATTTCCACATGATAATTTATACTTTGTGAAGTTTTCAGCTCACAGTTAAGAATACCGGCGTTTCGGGTGTGCAGCGGTTTGAGCATGGGGCTGTGACTCTGGAGACCAGGGTTCGAATCCCTGCTTGGCCATGGAAAACCATTGAGGGACTTTGGGCAAGTCACACTCTCTCAGCCTCGGAGGAACGCACTGGCAGACCCTTCAGGACAAACCTTGCCAGGAAAGCCCCACGATAGGTTTGCCTTAGGGTTGCCATAAGTCAGAAACAATTTGACGGGACCCAGCAACAAACAGAAAACCCCAAAAGCCATGAAACAAATATTCATAGAAGTTGGAAGAGACTCCCAATTCCAAACCTATTTGTCTTAAAGGTGCTGCAATTTTTTCCCTCCCCTTATTACCTTTCCTTCCTCCATTTTATGTTGCAAGAGACTAATACGGCTGCATCTTTAAAAATTACATATATCAGGAGATAATGGTGATTTTTGACTTGATGGACGTAAGCCTAAAAATAATAATGGCATCATTTTTAATTTTTTTAACTTCTATCTTTGAAATATACTACTCTATAGCTTTTAAGTACTATTTATGCAAAGGAAGCCTCTTTTGAATAAGTTACATCTTTTGTGAAGAATCCTCTTTGGTAGGAATTTTGGCAACTATAATTTTCATTTTGCAGATATATGTCTCTGTGGATCTAAGATTTCTGTTCCCTGGATCTCAGATCAACTCCCTCTCTATTGGACTATATTTCAATCTGTGATCGCTAGTGGTTTTTCGTTTTAAATAAACATATTTTTAAAACAATATTGACACTTTAAAAAATGTGATATACGTAGCTCAAAGGAAGTTTAAAAGCCATTAACAGAATAAAACCAAATAGCCAGGAGGTTGGGCACGGATGAAATAAATGACATGTCATAAATATCTTGATTTTGGACAAGAAGAATTAAAGGATCGGAGGACTAAAGATCCCAGTAATCCATCTGCAAATGATTATCTAAATTTGCTGCTGGGGCAGTTTGGTTTGATCGCAATCGAGGAGCTGGAGAGTAACTTTTATTCTTAATGGCATTCTAGCGGTTGTGCTTTTGTGAATTGCAGCATTGCACACCTGAATGTGCAAACAAATTTGGAAATGCACAATTGCAGCGCTCAGCGCATGCACAATTCACACTGCATAATGCGCTTCTGCTTGGGCCATGCACAATGTCACCAGATTAACAACTCTGCTTTTTTTGCAATTTTCAACTGAATACAGGCTTCTGTATGTGACGGAAACGATGAACCACTTTTCCCTCCCTGTTTTTTATTGATTCGTAAAAGTCCGTCAATAATTGATACAATAATGAAAATTATATATAACTAGATATATTAGTTTCTTGTTATCCCTTGTGTCTCTGTGTGTGTATATACACACACATATACATATACACATATGTATATTTTATATCATACCAAAAGAAAATACCTCCTTTTCCATTATCGAGGGATCAATAATTACACAAATTACCTATTTGTAACAGATTCTATACTGTGGTTTTCGAATTGTTCTCTATACACTTAATCCTAGACTTCCTATGGTTTCTTTACTTGGTGAGACTTGTTTCTTAATAATAATAATAATAATAATACATTTTATTTGTAGCCTGCCTCTCCCTGCAGATCAAGGCGGGTTACAACAAATAGGAATAACAATAAAATACAATATACAATTAATATTTCTCTACTTCTGACCTGAGCTTATTTGTGAGATCTTGCTTCAGAGAAATTATATGATTTGTTATTCTTTATATTATTATTGTGGATGTTATCACCTTATTGTTTTTGTTGATTTTCTGTTGTCCTTGTTGCATCTTCATTCAACTCCACTTGTTTTTTGCAATATTTGATGAATATGAAAAATGTTGGACCACTTTTGTAGGGGAACTTGCACACTTGGATGCTGGCCTTAATGTTATATTTTCAAATTAAATGGCTTTTTTCTTTTATCTTTTTTTCCTGGTGGAATTTGTAACAGAATAATAGATAAATGTGATCTCTCCATTTTGTACCTGGGTTGTATGGTGAAGTTTTGGCCAGCTGTTAACTGTGGATAATGGAATCTACTTTTCAAAAAATGACCCATCCCTATATTTGTATCCATCCTTTGTTTTTGAGACAGGGAATCAAGGCAGCTTACGATAGACAGAAAACTACAATAAAAACACATTTGGTTAAACCCAAAAAGGGAAAAATTAAAATTAAAGCAGCATTAAAAGGCAATTGCAAACCGCCTCTGAACAAATCTTGCCAAGAAAACTCCTGATAGGGTTGCCATAAGTCAGAAATGACTTGAAGGCAGATAACAATTAAACTAAAAACATTATTAAAACCTTTAAAAAAATTAAACAAAAATTTAAAAAACAGTGCATTCAGTGAAAGGTAATATTTCTCTAGGTCCCATACTATAAGAAATGCACAATATTAATTAATATTATTATATTATAATATTATTAGTAGCAATTAATAACTAACTAATAATAAAGTAATGGATGAAATCCATGTAATATTTAATATTAATTCAGTACTTAATTAAATATTGCCTGGAGGTTTCTTCTTAAGACCATGGAAGTTCTCTCCTTGCATATTTGCACTTATAATTTGATTTTCAATTTAAATTCCAATTTAATTTTTCTGGATTTTAATTGCCATGGACTTAGAATCCATTTCTGTAAAGGATTGCAGCTAAATTCATTGCAACTAAAATCCAGGAATCTTGGGAACTAAATTGTAAGTTTAAATATTCAAGGAGAGAACTTTCATTTAAAAAAAAAAGGATTTTTAAGAAAAGGGTTTGGAATCCTTGAAACATTACTTAGATGGGATTTTATTCCCACATTGCGGGATGTTTCGGAATAATAATAAAAAATAACGTAACAAACTCATTAATCCGAGGGCTGACTTTAAAACGGTGGCAACACAGCCTCTCTTTTTCTGTTTTATCTCTTCAGTCTTTTCAGAGGAAAGGCTGCAACTGTATATCGAAGGTTTCTAGTAGAATTTGGTGTTTTATTGTGGAATCTTGGCATTTCAGACTTTTAAGGAGCTGCCAAGTCATGGGATGTTGGAAAACAGCATTAAGGTTTGACAGATTTGAGCAAAATGTATATTTTAGGTTGCTGAGGTTGTTTTAGCCGGAGCTTCACAAAATACTTGGCTCACCCAAAAGGCTTGGGTTGTGTTGCGAATGCGTTGTGCATGCACACATCGGAAAGCTGGTTCACGTGATTGCTTTATTTCGTTTCTTTATACTTTCCTTCTGCTTGAGTGGATTGCTTTGTTTGGACAATTTCACTACTGGTTTTATGACCTCTTCCCACTGGCAGGGAGGGGAATTTCCTTCCATGTACAGTTGGGCCACCTTATCCGCGGATTCTTTATCCACGGATTCAAGCATCCATGGCTTGAAAATATTCCAAAAAATAAATATAAATTCCCAAAAGCAAACCTTGATTTTGCCATTTAATATAAGGGACCCTGTTTTACTATGCCACTGTATTTAATGGGACTTGAGCATCCGTGGATTTTGGTACCCACATTGGGTCCCGGAGCCAAACTTCAGCGGATACCAAGGGGCCACTCGATGCCATTTGGCACACTGGACGAAATAGTTTTTCTGCTATGGCATGAAGGGTGTAGCGATGGCTTTGGGGAGACATAAGAAGGGCATTGCCCCTTTTTCAGATTCGAATTCTGCTCCCCTAATAATAATTTCCTTCCACCTTCGGATCTGTAGCATTGCCGCTATATTCTCCATTACTGCAGTAATGTTCTTCAACTGAGCATTTGGAAGCACAGTTTAGGCATCTGAAGAAAAATGACAACTAAAGGGACCAAAGGAATGCGAATGAACACAGGAAACTGAAGAGTCTTTGGTTGAACAATTTTCACTGTCTCTGCAATGCTAGAAATTTGCAGCGCTAGAAATTTGTACTGCCTCTGCAATACTAGAAATTGGCAATGCTAGAAATTTGCACTGTCTCTGCATTACTAGAAATTTGCAGTGCTAGAAATTTTCAGTCTCTGTGATACTAGAAATTTGCAGCGCTAGAAATTTTCACTGCCTCTGCAGTGCTAGAAATTGCAGTGCTAGAAATTTTCACTGTCTCTGCAATACTAGAAATTGCAGTGCTTAGGAATTTGCACTGTCTCTGCAATACTAGAAATTGCAGTGCTTAGGAATTTGCACTGTCTCTGCAATACTAGTGTAAATTTGCAGTGCTTAGAAATTTGCACTGTCTCTGCAATAATAGAAATTTGCAGTGCTTAGAAATTTGCACTATCTCCGCAATGCTAGAAATTTGCACTCTCTCTGCAGTGCTAGAAATGTGGAGACTGAATGACAACTTTCATTTGGTGGAGCAGGATTCTTATTTGGAGGGGCAATGCCTTCTTCCCTATGTGTGTAATATCCCAATTGTGGAATGGCCTCCCTTTGCAGATTCAATTCGGCCAATGTTGGTTTCATATTGGTGCCAAGTTAGAACCTGGCTTTTTAACACAATTTTTGGGCCTGATGATTTCACCCATATCTGGATCCATGTATGACTTTAGCTTGTTTTATTTTAAACTTTCTAACTTATTTGGTTTTTAAATAATCCAATGGTTTAAAAATAATGTAAACTTTCTAAATGGTTATTTGCAAACTTTAACTTATTCTAACTAATTTTATGGTAACCTGGCCAAGAGACACAACCTTGGGGTTGCGTAGCATAAATCTCCTTGTGTGGAGTCACACATGAATTCTACTATGCAACCTTTGTGTTGCAAGGCATTGTTATACCATTGAACCAGGACAATGGTTGCTGCCACATTGCAGAATTTATTAGGTTTGACACCGCTTTAACTGCTCTTTGGATCCCTTGCAACGTCTGCCTCTTGGAATGCATGGGACTAGTCTAGGTTGATCTTCTCAAGTCCAGATGGGTTGGATGACACAGCTGTGCTAACTGGGGATGATGGGGATGCAGTCCAACTCATCTGAGAGGGTACCAGATTGAGGAAGACTATGCAAGGCATTATCTAAAGACCTCTCCATTTGCTTTAAATTGCAAAGGAAGGAAGGAAGGATGGATGGACAGACGGACGG